CTTCTGGCTGAAAGACTTTCCACACACATTACATTCATAAGGTTTCTCTCCTGTGTGTGTTAGCTGATGGACAGTAAGCTGTGCCTTCTGAGTGAAAGACTTTCCACACAGGTTACATTCATAAGGTTTCTCTCCTGTGTGTGTTGTCAGATGGACATTAAGGGTTGTCTTCTGGGTGAAAGACTTTCCACATTTGTTACATTCATAAGGTTTCTCTCCTGTGTGTATTCTCTGATGGACAGTAAGATATGCCTTCAAGTGAAAAGATTTTCCACATTTGTTACATTCATAAAGTGTCTTTCTTGTGTGAATTTTCTGATGAAAAGTAAGGTTTGCCTTCCGGATGAAAGACTTTCCACACAGGTTACATTCATAAGGTTTCTCTCTTGTGTGTGTTGTCTGATGGACAGTAAGGTGTGCCTTCTGGCTGAAAGACTTTCCACACATATTACATTCATAAGGTTTCTCTCCTGTGTGTGTTCTCTGATGGACAGTAAGGTGTGTCTTCCGGGTGAAAGAATGTCTATATTGGTTAGATTCTTTAACTACAGGAGATACTCCAGGACTATAAGTAGCACACATCCCGTCAGGCTCACCATGGAGAAGCATGTTCTGACACTGCATGAACTCCTCTGTCTTTATCCCTAAGGAGTTCCTATTATTCCTAATCAGCTCTGACTTAGGTTTTGATCTCAAATTAAAAGTTGTTACTAATTTCACATTTTTCTCCCCTGTGTTAGTATTCATGACTCCGACTTCAGACAGACAATCATAGGGACTCTTCTGACAGGTCTTAGTCCTGTACTCCTTTTCTTGGACATCTACAATGAGATATAGAAAGACAGACAAAAACAGAAATGAGACCACAAGATTCCTTAATGTAACAATAAAGGCATTTCCGTGCATCCTAACTGTTACGAGATTTTAAAAGATCAAAGCAGGAACTCTGATGCAGAATATAAGCTTTTCTCTGAAATGTATTAGTTAACAAAGTAGTACTGACATTTTACAATGGTAAATAATGTTTTTCTGTTTGTTTTTTTTCTGTTTTTCTCAAGGAATTAATTACTGAAATGATTCAACTAAACACTATTAGTTATAAGCTGAGTACTAAACATGTGCCTTTAATACCCTCGAGGTTTGGTCATAAGGGAATAGCTATTATTTTTCTTTTAATTTGTGGAAATTATTTATATATTTTGCTGCTTTGCTTCTCATCCATTAGGTGAGGAACAGAAATACTGTCTAGATTTAGGGACCATTAGGGTGTTTGATACATCCCTTTGCCTTTCTGCTAAGCATGAAAGGTTCCTGAGAGTAAGGATTTATACCTCCATCTCTTCAGTTCTAACTTCTCACTAAGAATTACTTTAGGGATTGGTGGCATTTTTAAAATTGGTTTCCCTCACCCTTAGTCAAATTCTCATCAAATTTCCTTTTCTAACACTTCTGCTCCTTCACAACCATTCAAGACCAAAGATACTGCAGCTCACCACCCAGGTAGTCATCCCCTATGAACCAAAAGCTTTGCTTCTCAATCTCACTCACTTCTACCATCACCAAGAAGCAATTTTTCTCTTCACAGGATAGCAGTCCTGACATACTCCTTATTTCCTCATACCTGCATAGCCCTGTTTCAATGAAAATGAGACCTCATTTTCTACATGTCTCATTTCCTTTTTCTGTTTAAGAATGATTTCTACAAAGAAAAAGAAAATTGCTCACTTTAACTATACTGGGACAGCCAAATCAGTTTGTCTCCATGTAAATTCTTGATTGTCATGTCCTGAAGACAAAGGATCACCTAGTTCTCTGCCATACATGACTCAGGGAACTAGGAACATTATTGCTCAGTACAGGTCATTAAACTTACCAAGTGGACTCTGGCTACAAAACCACCATGCAAGATGCTTTATCTCACCTGTGAGATTCTTGTCTGAGGCTTCTCTTATCCATGGTTCTGCACCTTGCTCCAGCTTGGCAATCAATTTAGGTTTAGGAACACAGTGTCCTGTTATTAACAAGTAGAGAAGAACTATTGGTACGCTGGGTCATCATTACTGTAAGGTCTTAGACATCATGTTCACAAAGTTGCTCCTAAACCTTGTTTCTCATTTCTTATCCACTCCTTGGTCGATATTCCCCAGCTTTCAACTTATTTTGCCAATTGTGTGGCTTGAACTCAGCTTTTTTGCTCAAAGCTAGCATTCTGCTAGTTTCAGTCCCAGCTACATTTGTAGATTGTGAGGGGATTTGGAGATAAAAGCCTCATGGTCACTTTTCTGCAGTTGCTGGCTTCAAACCAAAATCCTCACATTTCAGCCTCCAGAGAAGCTAAGATTACAGGTGTTAGCCACTGCACCCAGGATCAGGGTTGATTACAAATAACCACTTTCAACTAGTGATTTTCAGATCATACCTCAAATAGTGAGGTACTTTCTATTCTAGACTATATTTGCCCCTACAAAAATCACCACAAGTTTAGGAAGACAGTCTCTTTCTATTAGTGGAGTGCAGTTTAGATTTTGGGTCCAAGTGCTGATTGGGTTTCTTGATGAATGGGAATAAAATTGTCTCCAGTTACATAATCAAGTGGAAAAAATGGACAGGAATTTTATATTCCCACGGACTGGAATCCTCTACCAAAACAACATAAATATTTAGATATCTACTTAGAAAAGAAAACAGCCTTTGATCTCACATGTTCAAATGACTTTTGCTCACCTAAGGACAAGAGGTTGCTGTAGGTCTCCAGCATTACATCTCTATGCAGGGTCCTCTGAGCATGATCCAGGTCTTGCCACTCCTCCCAGCTGAAGTCCACAGCCACATCATCAAATGACACAAGCTTCTGTAATGGCACGTTTGAATCAAGTAATTAGCCCAAGTCAGGAAGGTCTGTGGGATTCATCCCCAATTAATCACCAGGAGAAAAGCAGAACTGGTGCTATGGCTCATGTGGTAGAGCACTAGCCTTGAGGGGAAGAATTCAGGGACAGTGCTCAGGTCCAGAAATCAAACCTCACAACCAAGCAACCTACCAACACACACACACACACACACACACACACACACACACACACACACACACACAGTATCTCATAAGCAATCACAACACATTTAGGACATCACAAGGAATACATAGCACATTACTGATTCATGAAAACTAAGTGTCCACATAAATGATAAAGGCAGTAACAGTACTTAAGAATGTTGCTAATGATGGATTGGCCCTTATAAGATCTGATTTACTTCCCATATATAAATATCCTATGTTAACTATTTTGTAGTTTAAGTGCTAAATACTGAAGTATGGTCATAGATACCCTGATATTTCTTTCCTATGTAAAAATGAACAGCTAGAAGGAAGTTTTGTGAACTTGGCCTACCTTCTACAATCCACAATATAGTTGCGAGGGGCATACCATGTTCCCTGACTACATTTTCATTTAAATATGCCTTCATGGAAGGATGGAGGATGGATAGAGGCTTAAGGAACATTCAAGATGACAAAAAACGAAAAAAAGGACCACGACAAGCAAGACAGAGAAAAATTAGAAGAGGGATGTGATCTAAAAATACAGAAGAAAAATGTACAAGTTGGAAGGAAATAAGAGTGCTAATTTGCCTGCAGAGGCTAAGAGGAGAGGTTTTGGACTCCCACACTGAACCCTATTACAAATGATGAATGGCCAAGCCAGCCATGCTTGCCAATACCAGAGGTGAATGCTGACTAACACACAAAAGGGAAATATATATGTGAAGAATTGAAAGAAAATAACATTCAATTCACAATCCATTGGGCAGAGGAACTCTACTAAAAATGTAGATTGAAAATATTGTCAGGGAAAGAGAGTTGATTAATTACAAATCTGCATTTTAAGAGTGTTACAAGAGAAGTGTTTCAAGAGAAGAGCAAAAGGAGTCCACATACATATACACATAGGACAAAGAAACTAAAATGGCAAATCTGTAGGTAAGTATAAAGGAATATATTGGTCATATATTTTATGTAATATTTCTGTAATAGTTTGTTGAAATAAAACTTATAGTACCATATTCATGATTCACAATGCATGAAGATCCAATATATAAACTCATTACTTTATTAAAAGAAATGTATGTAGAATACTCATATGCATCAATAAATATTGCAATTACCAGGCATATAGGAAGGCCTCAGTTCAAGGAATTAATTGTACCACAAAACAGAGTACTAGATTTAGGGCTGGAAATGCCATGTGAACAGAAAAAGTAGAAATGGGAAAAACGATTGAAGACACTTTAAAAAGAATCTACACATAATTCCTTGAAATATACAAAGCTCAGTATCAATAGTCAAGAGAAGAATTCAAATCAAAATTCTACAGAAATAACTACTTTATATATGTTACTATGGACAGAGTTTTAAATAAAAACAACAAATATCCTTCCAAAGTGTAACAAAGGCTGGGAAGGATGTGAATTCAATTTGAACCTTGGTGTATGTCTGGCAGGAATGTAAAACAATCAAAGATGGTATGGACAGCCCTAAAAAGAACTAAATAGAGAATTACATAGGAATATGGCCCAGCACTTCTATTTCTAGATTTGTACCCAGCAGAAGAGAAAGCAGGGATGAGAAGTAGTATTAGAGAATCACTTCACAGCAAATACTGACAAGAACCAAACGACAGACACAGGTAAAAGAATAGATAAAGACATTGAAAAGGAAGACAAGTTTGCTACATTTTATAGCAGGGTTGATCTTTGAATACATTAAGCTAATTAAAATACAGCAGTCATAAAAGCACAGCCATGGTATGATTTCCCTTACTGAGCTTTCAAGGATCAACAAAGTCATAGAGCCAAAAAGTAAGATGGTTCCAGAGACTGGGGTAGAGAGGAAAAGGAGCTGCCTATTAATGATTATACAGCTTCATACATGGAAAATGAAACATGCTGTACATGGATGGAAGAGATGGCTGCACAACAATGCGGCCATATGAACTATCAGTGAACTCTGAATTGAAAAAGGGTAATGTAGCCACACAGGATGGAACATACCTATGCACCCTGAACTTGGGAAATTCAAAAAGGATGACCAGCCAGGCTAGGTTCCATAACAATTTCAAGAGCATGCTGGACTACATATCAAGACCTGTCTTCAAAAGGAATAGGGAATGATTTGTATTGACAAAGCTCATAAAATTCTCAAACTTTATAGACCATGACAATGACAATTTGCCTTCTGAAGGTGAAAATGTGTTTTTGACTACAACTAAGCATCTCTGTTCCACAATACTGTGACATATGTGAAATTTATATAATCACTTTCTCTCAATTTAAACAACAAAAAAAGAAAAGTCAGAGAAGGGGTGGTTTAGGAGCAATGGGTGACAATGTTGTCAGACATCTTCTATTCACATATTGTCTTGTAGAATGCCAACTTCTTTGTACAACTACTTAAACCTAATAATAAAATAAATTGTTTGAAAAAAGAAATATGGAAAAATCAAATTTTAGACTCTCTGAACTGGATCAGAGATATAAGAGCCATGTGTGTCTATTTCTCCAGTTAAAATAACGAATTAAAATTTATGAAGAAACGTTAAGCCACATTTTAGCTGGAAACATACAACTACAAATAGCATTAATAACAAACACACATGGACCAAAAATGCAAAGTATTCCTTTTTTTTTTTTATCGGTTCTGTGGCTTGAACTCTAGGCTTGGGCACTCTCCCTCAGGTCTTCAACTAAAGCCTAATGTTCCACCACATGATCCTCTGTGCCACTTCCGATGTCCTGAGTGGTTTATTGGAGATAAGTGTCTCATGGACTTTCCTGTCCAGTCTGGCTTTGAACCAGGATCCGCAGCTCTCAGCCTCCTGAGTAGCTAGGATGACAGGTGTGGGCCACCGGAGCCTGAACAAAAATGAAAATTACTCTAATCTGTGCATCTTAATTTTAGTTTTTGTATATCTTTTCACTGACTATTTTTTGGTTTCTTTGTATGTTCTTCTGCCATGGCATAAACCTTGTTGTCACTGTCTTTGATTCTGGTGTCTTGAATCTTGTATATACATTTTTCTAATTGAGGAGGGGAACGCAAATTATAAAATGCTGAAATAAGAATACAGGATGGCCCATTGTAACAATGACTTGTACAAGGAACTATGTTGAAAAGGAACTTTGGTGGGGGGGGCGAAGACTTGGGGAGGTGGGAAGTAAAGTGATGGTAGGGGAAAAACAAAGGAGAGGGAAACAAATGCTCTATAAGAAATGGACTCAATACCTTGCTCATGTAACTGCAATCCCTCTGGACACTATCATATATATATATATATACATGTGTGTATATATATATCTGTATATATATATATCTGTATATATATATATATATATATATCTGTATATATATATATGTCTGTGTGTTTTTGTGTGTGGAAAATATCATATCCAAGATATTTTTTTACAAATGTTCAGTCAGCCAGGTGCTGGTGACTCATGCCTCTCATCCTAACTACTCCGGAGGCTAGGATCCAAGGATAATACTTCCAAATTATTTCTATTAGAAAAGCCTAGAAGACTCATATCTCCAGTTGATTATGAAAGGATACAAAAAAGGTGAATGTTGAGCTATGACTTAAAGAGTAGAGGACTAGGCTTGAGCAAAAAAAAAAAAAAGCTCCAGACAGCTCTCAAGCCTGTAGGCCAAGGACACACAAACATATCATTCAACATATTACAAAAACACTGTCTACTATGAGACAGATGAGGATGGTGGCTTGGAGTGAAGCCTTTGCTCTGCATGTGTGAGGCTCAAGTATTGAAATTTACTGCTACAAATACAAATATTGTAAGACAAGAATGAAGTCTTATCAATATGTAAACAATAGTGATTCATGCTTAACAATATCAATCTGAAATTTCAAAAATGCATTTTGGTATCATAGTTCATGATGTTACTTCATTAAAAAGGATCTGATGGAAGTTCCGGGAAGATGGCAGAGGATAAGTTGGAAGCTAAACAAGCTCTCGCATAGAAAACAGTTGTAGTGTTTCAGTGAACAGTCCTAAGCCAGAGAATCACACCAGGTGTGCCATCACAGTACAGAGAGTTAGGTCAGAGAGGGAAAATCCAGGCAAGGAGACAGATCTGAGCACTTGCAAGCAGCCATGACTGGCGTGATAGCGGAGGCCGTATCCGCCATACCTGCAACAAAGGCTCCATATGTGGTGTGTGAGTCAATTCTACTCAACACCAGCAAGAACTGACAAGGAGCAGACATCTTCATCCTGAAGTTCCCAGACCAGAGAAGACTCAGGAACCAAGATTCCAGTGTGAGTAGAAGCCTGAAATCCTCACTCCATCTCAGGGAGCAGAGAAGGGAAGGCCACCCCTCCCCTCCCCCCACTACCAGAGATCTCCATCTTTGATACTGACAAAGGCCTGGCTGAGCAGCTAGCACCAATTCAGGCCTTGGAAGAAAACAAAAGAGTCATTTAGCAGGTCACAGGAACCTAACCTGACCTGCTAGGCTCAGCTCCACCCAAGGGGAAGTCACCCAGCCAGGGCCCCAGCCCCAGCAGTGGCTTTCTTCACTGGGTAAACAGAGACAGAGGCTGCCCCTCCCTATAGCAGCCTTGACAATCAATTGAAATTCAGTAAATCCTGAGAATGGCTTCAGGCTCGGCTCTGTGAGTCTATCAGAAGCTAGCCCCTCAGGGAAAAGCTACTGTTTGCTGAAAGGCCTCAACTCTATTCAGAATTTAGCCTCATCACAGCATCTCCAAACTAGAGGAAACAGCCAACTCCATCTTTTGTGATATGCAAAGCAGATCTCCTTCCCATTAAATTACCCTGGGAGAAGGATCACAAACTCCTGGATAAAGCAGAACAGCTTTTTGCCTGCTCAAACAAATTGACCTAAGAAACCAACCAAGCCACAGGA